CATAATGGCAATGTTAAAGCCATTAGTGGCAACACATAATAGAAGAGCGTCAACAAAATCTTTAATATGAATTTATGAAAGATTTGTGGGCATAAAGGCAGCTATTTATGCGTGATTTGCTGCGTATCTTTTGCGCTCGATTTTTTATTATAATTTTCTTTCTTCAATGTATATTGTATATTTGTCTGTATAACGTATATGCGAACTTGGACATTCAATAAGCAGGACATCAAATCCCATTGCTATTTATTGTCATCATTTTCAGTACAATTTTTTATCTTGCACAGACAGTGTAAGTGACTTAGGTTGTCAGATAGAAGATAAATGAGTTGAGTTGAGTTGCATTTTTTTGGTTTTTTAATATTAAAAATAAGTAAAAGTTTCTTAATTTAATATTAAAAGATTTTTGTGAATTAATAAAAGTAAGTTTATATTGACACATTCACTAGAATATTGAAGTCTGCCTTTTGTAACGAAGGCAACTTATTTCAGCCCCAATTAAGTGGCAACAGATGTTTCCAACATCCTCTAATCTATTTCATTCCCATCGTTAAGCTACCGTAAAGTCGTAAAATATTCATTATGCGTTATCCGTTAGGCGTTAAATTATACCTAATGTGCACCTGTGCTGTGCATTGTGCTTCTCTTAATTAAACATTATCAATAGATAAAGAAATTATTCTCTTTTAACACCACATAAATATGTTTAATTTAGAAACAGAAAAGGTGTATTCACTAACAAAATCCAATAATTAAGTGCTTACTTAAGACAGCACAGTAACTCTTCCACCAAGAAAAAGTGGAAAAAAGTATTCCATGTTCTTCAAAAAGTTTAATCTAAAGATAAAGAATTAATAAAGGCAAGGTAAATATCCGAAGGATAATCGAGATTTATACACTTTATTTATAACATTTATTTAACACTTGATTAGCACACTCTTTAATTACATACATTGATCACACTTTTTAAAAGTAGTTATTTTTAGAATTAGCTAAGAAATACAGGGGCTTACGTATTTTATTTAGAATATTATTGAAAAATTTTAGAAATTAAAAATACTGGTGACTATAATGATAAGATAAAAACAATCAATAAATTATATACATCTATAAAGACATAATTAAAAAGAGCAAAATAACAGAGGTGAACGACCAAATCGATTTGCTTTGGAATGAGACCTATCTATGATAAATATAATGTATTGCCATCAGCCAAAACGACGATTAGGCGTATATGACTAACGAATAAAAGTAATCCAATAGACAATACGTATAATCGTAAAATGTATAGAACAACACGTACCATCTAAATAAGAAGCAAACTACATTAGGAACCAAAATCTTCTAATATGTCCGAATATTCAAAAACAGCAAACATAAGATTACTGAAGTTTAGCGTGCCTCTTTCTAAACAATTCATTGAAGATCGTATACGGAAGAGGAATTACAATGCAATCAAATATTTACGCTGCGCTCACCGATTCTTTTGAAAGTGCTTATGTGTCCGATAATAAAATATTAGGTGTTGATTTATCGATGAAACATTTTGGAAAGTAGAGAAAGTCAAATATTGAATGAGAAACTAGAACTGATCGAAGCTAAAGACCGTTACCAAAATAGGACCAAAATTTATTTTTAATCAAATAGGTAATCAAATCAGCAATGTCAGAACTAAATGAGTTTCAATTGAAGCCAATATGGTAAATAAATATATCTATACCTATATAACAAGTAACCATTCATTTATACTACAATTAAGTTATATAGTAGTTAGAAATTGGTTTTTTATTTAATACTCAGTAGTTTTGATATGTCTCTGTTAAACTATTTTAATAATCACAACTATCCTCCTTGAGATCGAGTACATATGTAAAAAGTATATATGACAGTATCTCACAGTATCCATTTCATTATTATAATAAATGACCACAGCAATCTATAACGTTGCATATCTCTTCAGGAACCACTGCTGCCTATGTGCTTTTACCGGTTTTGTACATCAAATGCAATTAGCGCTACTTCAACTTCATCACTACATCAGAGACACGTTCTACTTCTACGCTTTCTTCCTTCAACTATCGTGTCATACACCTTTTTCGCTGGAATATATTCATTCATTCTCACGATATGATCAAGCTAGTGAAGCCAGTGAAGTTCGTTGCATTATATTAAATGTCGTGATAAAGCTCGTACATCATGTGATTGATTCGGTTGCGGTACTCGTTGGCAACTTGTAAAAAATCAAAGATCTTACTTAGAATTTTTCTTTCGCAATCCCCCACTAACCTCATCATTCTCTAGACACACTATATAGTGTGCGTATAAAACAGCTGATAAAATGATCGACATACATTATAATTGTGTACTGAGCCCACTGTAACACATATTGGTAATAGTGATTCTTCATCTGATCTGCAGGCTGATATCGTTGTT